TTCTGCGTGGCCACAGACCGGTCCGGCACAACCAGGTGCTAGTTGAGAGCCCCGTAACAAGCAATACGTACACGGGGCCGTTCTCTCACAGACTTTCATGTGCTGAGCAGAATTCGGAGAGTGATGAGCCTGTTCCTGGAGCTGTCAGGGAGACAAGCATGTTGAGAAGCTCAAACGCCACAGAGGCAGCTAAATGTTTTCCTGCCCTATGCGTCTATTTCTAATTTGAATTCGCCTGTGACTATTGCCCACCTGGTTAAGTTCAGTGTGAGGAGCAGGCTCTTCTGCAGAACTGAGCAAAGGGCACCCGGCAGCTGCTCCTGACCAGGGTGTGAGCACAGAGAGCGCCCACACAGCACGAACCATTCGCAGCAACGCGCAGCAGCCTCTGCAGCCTCATCCTCCTACTGCAAGACACGCTGGATAGCAAAAAGCCTACAGCCTTGTCAGAAAGGCCTGCGATAAGGAGAGCTCGCTATTTTGAAAACTGCCTTTCTGATGCTGAAGACCTGATTCTCGCAAAGCAGAAACTTAAGGGTGACCAGGACTGCCCCAGGACACCAAACTGAATGCCATCTCGGGAACAGCAGGCTGCACCAGTGCAAAAGTGAAATAGCAAATACATTTTCCGTTCAGAAGGAAACAATCAATCGATCACAGCAAGAAGTCACATCTACTCATTCCAGGGGGACCTTCAAGGTGCTGGTCTGGATTTCTTAAGGTGCTTGATAGTGAAGGACCCACCTGGGTGAGTAGTGCTCTTCTTCTCCCTGCGTGTGACTGAAGAAATAAATGGGCAGAGCTACTTTTTCACTTAATTTTGGACTCAAGTTTTTACAGCTGCATCAGAAGATGAGCTGTAGGCCTGTGTCCTAGAGCTGCACTCCTGCCACAGCCTGACACAGGGTCTCATTTGTGGAGCTGCTGGGAACTGCCCATATAGCAGCTACGTCTTATACACAAAGTATTTGAGGTTCTCATTTCTTAATGCTTATCCTACACATCTACTCAACGACTAGGGAAAAAAGAGATTTGTCCATTTCCATTTGTTAGCCTGATTTTCAAAGTCTCTTATCACCTGCACGCTGCTTGTAAAGCACTGCCAAAGAGCAGGTGAAAAGACGAGGGCACCTTTCTACATAAAGAGTCTGACTTGCAGCCAATATTTAAATAAAGACGTTAAAACTGGGGACAAATTTAAAGAGATTCTAAGAAGGTCTGAGAAATTATGACTGCTACTCAACAGGTAAGTGTCTTGTGAATGCTTTACAGAAAATTCCTGTTAGAAAAAAAACCACAACAACCAACCAAACAAGAGGTGATCTGAGTGTAGTTCCCTGTCACCAACAGCTACACATACTGACTTCACAGCACGGGGCTGGCAGTTAAACAAAAAAAAAAGCAACTAATTGTGCAACGACACTGCGCAGCTGCCTGAAGGGTAAAGAGAAGCAGAGCAGAGGTTTGCCTGCTGCCTCTCAGCGGGAAAGGGAGAGCGATCTCAGCGTTCATCCTGGCTGCAACACGAGCGGGAGCGCAGCTGCCCCACAGCGGCTCGGGCAGGGCTGCAGTGAGGGGAAAAGGATTCTAGAAAACATAACAGGGACTTCCACAGGACCTTCACTGCTGTTAGGATTTTTTAACATTTCTAAGGAAAACTAAAGCAATCTCTAAAGATCCCAAATAACGAAATAACATTCCGGTGAGGGAATGACTGAAGTCTTTCGCAGGATGTTCAGTACAGAGAAGTGGTGAAGTACGAGTTATAGACATGAGTTAGATCTGGAGCAGATTGGAAATCTGAGAACTAGGCCTTTTCGAGTGTTGCTCTATGAAAACAACTGGGACGTGGCCAGTGATGGAAGAAGAGTGCACTTGGCCCATGTGGTAAAGGACTAATCTCTTTCAGCTCATAACTCCCACCGCAATCAGTCTGGATCCAGAATGAGTGCTGTTAGGAAATAAGCTGAAAGAATACTTTAGAGAAAGACTTGCAACAAGACTTGCCAGAAGATGGCTCTGAAGACATGGGCGGGCTGGCATGGATGATGAATAAAATGTTCTTATTCTGTACCATAGCCGAGGTGACAGTTGGTAAGCCCCACACCGGCTCTGAGTCAGGACACCCAACAGCTCAGAGCTGTAGGAATTCATGAAGCCCTTGGGCTCAGACAAGGGCCAAAAGGCTCTGCCTGAAGCTAAGAATGCCAGGGAGCCTGAGGCTTGACAGTGCAAGACAGGCAAGGGAAGAGCCCTGCAGAGCGGCTGGATTCCTGAAACGAGGCTTCAGAAGAGCCTCAGGCAAGCAGAGCTGCCAGTTAAGAACCAGAGGCAAATCCCCAGCAGCTGTACCCCTTCAGGGGAAAGCAAACAGCGCTAACGGAAAGCTCCCCTCCTGCTCTGTGACCACAGATCCGTATGAAGATGTCAGACAGCCTTGTCACTCCAAAAAAAAAAAAGCGCGATACCTGTAGTGACTACAACAGTAGAAACTTGCATCAAGCGTGTGGCCCACCTGCCAGACGGAACAAGATGACCCTTAAGCTCAGTACTGATGCAGGCAAGAGACTTACTTTGCTGCTCCTATTCACCAGTTACCTTGCAACGCCACCACGCGTTTCACACGCCAGCTCTCTGAACGTTACACAAAGCTTGACCTTGCTCTGGATAAGACGCTGCTTAGGACGAGCTATGGCAGGAGAAAAGACTGGGTCCAACTGCATTTTTGCAATCCAGTGGAAGATGAATAAAGCAAGGCTGAAACTCCCAAAGTTATCTTGTTAGGAATGAGCACCAGGGCAGGTGTCCACGCTTGACACATGTCACTACCTTCTTCAAAGACGCCAGAAGCACAGGGGTTGCAGCACTCCCTGGCTTGGAAAGTATCGCGCTGTCCAGGGGAGTGAGTGCTCCCACTGTTTGCAGTGTCGTATCACGAGCAAATATCATCTTTTGCAGGAAATAAGCTGGAAACTGTCTACAAGCAACAGCAAAGCTTCTCCAGCATGTCCAGCCGGTTCCAGATGAAAGCCTTGTTGTAAAGCAGCACCACACCAGAATCTGCTGGGCCTTGTAAGGATTAAGAGCCAGGTGCAAGTGCTCTCCTCAGATTATTGAAGTGGAAAAAAGAGACGGGGACTCCATCAAGAGAATTATTGCTCTGTGCAGCTCACACATTCCTGCAACCTTTCAAATGGACCGAAAACTAGAAGCAGGAAAACTGTCTGGACATAAAACAAAAGGGGGAAAAAAATTACCAGAAAATACAACTGAGAATGGAGAGCAGCTTAAAATACACCTTAGCAGAGCAACCAAAATACATTTCAGTCCTCAGATAAACCTGTGCTAATGGACAGTATTTCCAGTCCAAGATAGATAAAATAACAAACATCTTTAAAGAAAGAAGAAAAATAAAGTGTAATTATTTCAGATATTTATTAAGGAGAATACTGTATAAAGTGCACAACAAGCTTGGTTTCGCAATCAAAACAAGAATGCAGTGAGGCATCACCAAGATTGCTCATTTTAATTTACAATACAGCTTAGAATATAGGGGTTGACCTGAGATGCAGCTCTTAAGTACCCCAGTTATTTTTGGCCACTTGAAGTTTTGAAAGCTTGCCCTGCACCTGCGGGTCAAAAAAAAGAAAAAGTGCCTGTCTCTAAAGTGCATGGTACAGATAGGAAAAGTACTCATTGGTGTGCCAAAAAAAATGAACAGGACAGAGAGCGAATCAGAGGGACCATCACGAAGCATCCCTGCTCGAGCAGCAGCAGAGGAGCGGAGGGAAGCGTGTGGGCTCGAACCGAGCGCAGGCAAACCGCGACTCCTTTGTATTGCACCGAGCTCTGCAGGATCTTAGGAGAGGCTCACAGAACAGTGTGCTGGACGCTTCCACCATTGAGAAGAAAAGAGTAGTTGCAAATTCAGAAAGTACAGAGGGTGTGGTCCTGAGCATGCAGCGGCCACGGTGTTGCACCTGCCCATGTGCAAAGGTTTATAAAAGTTCATGACGTGGAAGAGAAGTGGGGTGTGGAGGCATTTGCAAGACAGGAATGAATCTATACTGGTAAAGAGATGGTTGAGAAAAAGGGAACGATAGGAAAATGCAGCAGAACTCAGTCTGAATTAACAAACCAGAAAAGTCACCACCACAGCAATACTAAAAACGTGCTTCAGATAAGACTTCTCTGTGTCTCAGTTTGTATTCGTAAAGGGAAATATTAATTCTCAATGATCTAATCACAGCACTTCGAGAATGGTAAACAAAAGCCTAGAATAGCAGTAGAACACTAAAAAGATGTGATTTTGGTGCTGGGAAAAAAAGACTGGTGAACAAAAGCCTAGAATAGCAGTAGAACACTAGAAAGATGTGATTTTGGTGCTGGGAAAAAAAGAACAGTAACAATGAGATGAAGTGGAGCATAACTGTAGATCCAATGAAATAGTACAGTTTGGGAAACTGCAGATAACAACACAGTAAACACTGAGTAAAGGCCACAGTGGTGAGAATCAAGGTTTCTGCTGGATCTAAAGCAAGAATCTTAAGAATCTTGGCATTGCATTAAATGCTGAAAAATACATTAACAGCGACACTGAATAATGAGTCAGAAACAACAGTCGAAGAAGGAAATAAATATCTCTTCAAAACCAGTCTCCAAATCACGGAACACTATGTGCCAAGAGCAGTGTGGAACGTTTGGGAGTTTGTGGAAAAAAATGAGGTTAAGAATCCAATGGTGCCGAAGTGCTGGGCACCTACATCCACATTTAATGCAATCTAGCATCCCAGATTCATGGCACCTTTGAAAATCAGGCTCTGAAAATATAAACCCCATAATTTAGTTAGACAAGCTTAGTAATTAAAGATACCTAAAAGCTGTGATATTCACCTGAAGGAACCAACAAAGGGCAATTTAAACCTGGACCGCAAATAAAATGTTAGAGGACTGTCTTTAAGAAGATTCTGTGATAAAACATCTTGCATAAGCAGGAAAAGTTTTGAACACCTCATTTATTCCTTGGTATATGACCTCTTTCTGTCATTGAGGGCGCTCAGACAGCGAATGAGGTAGGTATAGCACAACCAAGTCTTTCCTGATAAATAACATTGATGGTAACACTTTCAACCTTACTGATTGGCCTAGAACAGAAATCATGATGATAACGGGTTTATGTATCCCTGAGAGGGAGTATAAAACAGGAAGAGCAGGAGTCTTCTCCATGGATTTGGGGAGAAGGGCCATCACTTCACTGTCACGGTGGGAAACTGTGTTATATGAAATAAATGTAATCGCACAACATCGCTGTGAGATATACGTGTGTCATAGACGGGGGAGCCAGAAAAGTTAATTGCCTTGCCTATAACCATTAAAGCAGTCAGTGACAGACCTGGGATTCATGATCAGGACTTCCCTGCCTCCTGCATCATGTTCACACAGTTACCTACTTGCTGGCCAGAGGCTCGCTGCGTGGTTGTTCTAACGTACTGTATAAAGATAGTCATGCAAGGGATGTAGCACAAAGTCACTGAAGAACAGAGCGCTCTCTGTACCAGAAAGCACGTTTCTTCTGGAAGCTGCGTGCAATTGGGAACCTCTGGTGGGAAGCACACATCTGGTTTCTTCACCCTGGAATGTCTGGTGCTTCAGGCTTAGCACAATGAGGACCATTTCAATGACTAAATGTAACAAAGATAGCCTGTACAGGCGTAAATTACAAGGTGTCTGGTAGCGGAACAACCTTTTCCCTATGCTCTTCTGACCCTTAAAAAACAAACATTAGCCTGGTTAATTCAGCGGACTCATCACATACAACTATAGAGCAGTCTATATTTCCATGTCCACAGGCCGGATATCTCCAGTTTTGTGTTCTTTCACCCACAGTTCCCTGTCTTTGGCAGGATCCACTTTCCGAAGCAACTGATCCACGAGCTCTACTGTCTAAAACAAACAAAACAAAAATCCAAATGTCAAGGGCGCATTTCAGGCAGAGACAGTCACTGCTCCACAGCGTAGAACAGCTCTGGGCATGCCAGCATTGCATTTGCAACGTTGTGAGAACCACATGTATACAAAACTCAGTGGACAACAGCCAGATCTGAATGTGAAGCCTCATAAGGGGAAGCAGAGAAGAGGTTTCACATTCATCTTCTGGGTCAAGCAGAGACGGGCATTGGCCAGTTGGTCTCTGAATCCTGTCCTGCAATCTGTGCCTTACACCAAATACAACCACGTACTGAGGTGGGCATACATGCCTTGTATTTTAATACTTGAAAACTAGCCAGAAGAGAAAACATGTACTCCTTCCCCCAACAGTGAAACTGTTTACCATCTTTCTTGATGACCCAGAGTAGTGCATCATGCTGGGAGAGCTAATAATGGTTCATGCTGGCCAATTGTAATCCAATTTATTGTGTTTCCCCAAATGAAAAGCTTAGATCCAGCAGTATGGAATGCAACTAGAGTCAGCGAGTCTGGGAGGAGCAGGACAGTCCTGCTGCAAACTCATGAGCTGACTGAATACACTTCTCACATCTCCTTTTGATCCAGGTCAGTCAGATCAGGATAGCAACTGCTCTGCTCAGCTGACCTGCAGTAAAAACCAAAGGGACTGAACAAAAAGCAGACTTACACTTTGGTTGAACATGTCTGTCTCATGCCGCAGCTGCGTATACTGGCAAAGATGCTGCCGAATCATCTCGACCCTTTCAACTTCTAGCCGCTCAAGCTCCTGGAAATTAAGAAAAACAAGTCCATGTTTTTCTTGGAAGCTGAGCTTGAAGGCCCAGAGAAAGTACAACACCCAAAAGGTTGCCAGTCAGTGCGATACCACCCCAGGGCCACGCTTTGGAGCTGAACTCCATGGTGGCACATCCCTCTGATTTGCAGAGAATCAGAAACAGCAAGCAAGAAAAGTCACTTCAGCCTGAGCCTCAGGACAGAAAAGAAGGTCAAAACCTTTCCAAAACTGAGAAAACAGGGGCAGAGAGAGAGCTGCTGTCATCAGGGATGCTGCAAGCAAGAGGCAATCTGTTTCCCACAAGCAGCTCTGCATGCTTTCTGGCTAGCTCCAGAAGGTACAGTGATTTCCCGGGGAAGTAGGAGACTCTGTTGGGTTGCACGGCTCTGAGGGCCTGGCTGCCCTCAGTCTAACCAGACATCTCTAAGAGCTATTTCATCTGTTCACCAGATGATGAGCTGGAACAAGCCTCCACCTTGCTCAGCTGACAGTAAGCAGACCCCAGCAATACTTTATTGAAAAGCTTTCCTCCTGATTTCTTCTACCTCCCTCTTCTCCTGGATTCTGACGATACACCCCAAAATCCCCCTTTAGGCCCTCCTTGTCCATCTGAGCAGCAGCAGCAGAAGCAGCATGCTATGGAAATGTGCCCTTGAGGACATATACTGTAATGGGCTTTGCTGCATCACTAGAAAGCTCTGTACTCACAGGCATCAAATCTTAAAAAACCCTGCCTTCAGAGGGCATTTCTGGTGTCCACCTCGGACTTTGCTGTATCACTAGAAAGCTCTGTACTCACAGGCACAACAGCAAGGCCAAATCTTAAAAAAATCTGCCTTCAGAGGGCATTTCTGGTGTCCACCTACTGGGCACTACGGTGGAGGGCAACCGAGAATATACATGCAGGCAGGCTGCTACATTGCCTTCCCTGGGCTATCTGCAATTTGTCAAATATCTTTTGGAAAAGATTCTCCAATATAGCCCAAAAAAATCTCAAGAGGCTGACTGTCTGCCTGGGGAGGGAAAAGAGCAAAGGAGCTTATACTGTGGACAGGACTTTAGCCTGGGCTCCTATTGCTGTTGTGGGCTGACGCACTGCCCCTCTGGAAACAACGGCCACTTCGAACTCAGGCTCCCTTACACAGGGCACGGACATGCAGGACCAGAACGCAGTGTGCTAGTGAGCACGCCACGCGCAGAACCTGCTTCGTATCTGCACCAGAAACTTCAGGGAGGAAGGTACGTGAGAAAACATAAAAGTCTCCAGTCCTTGCCTCTCTCAACTTTGTATCGTGTTTTTCCATGTCTTCCTTGTGCATCACTTCATCCTTCCGGGACAATCCCAGCACTATGCTCCTAGCAGCCCTAAACTGGTTGAACACCTTCTGCAAAGAAGAAATCACTTCTTTCTTCCCCTAATGATCGCAGTTTTTCTCACAACTGAGAACAGAAAATACAATGGGAGACTGATCACCCAAATTCTTCCCACTGCTTTGCCCTGTAGCGAGCTATGAACAACGAAAGATGTAAGATGCTACAGAGAGATACGTACCAGAGTGGTGGTCACCATTTCCTCAAACCACTTGGACTGGGCTTGATTGTAAAGATCCACACAGCGCATCAGGTCATCTCCTGAAATAGTTCAAGACAGCAATACATCAGTACTCTCTAGCCAGTGTTACGGAGCTGAGAGGGAAATTGCAGTTCAGGTTTTGCAGACAGACCTAGAGAGTTTGAAGTCCAGTCCTGGTGGAGCTGAAGGTAGGTCTGTTATGTAGTATTTGTTATGTGCAACAAAATTTCAACAAAATGCATGCACTTGATGTGTGGTAAAAGATCAGGTTATTGGGGTGAGAAAGAGTAAGAGGGAAAGCCAAGATTTTACAAATATGAACATTAAGCAGTATTTTACAAAATGCCCAGAACTCTGAAAACGCATTACTTCAGTTAAAAAATAAAAGGTCATAGACAGAAAGTTTTACTGAAAAATAGAATACTTAAAATGGGAAATCACTGAGTTACTGAGCTGCAGGCTAGCACTCTGTAGGTAAGACTGCATTCTGACATGAGTCTGTTTAAAATGGAAGCGAAGTGTCGGGCTCAAGCCATCCAAGGGATGCTTATTTGCAATCTCAATCCAGGTGCACGCTCATGCATTCTCCAGCCCTGAAGATGCACAATTCCAGTTGAGCTTTGGCTTGCCCCCATGTTCAGGATAGTAGTACCATGACCTGCAATTATTCCAATTTTTGTTGTTGTTGCAGGACTCCACTACAAAAGAGAGGGAAAGGTGGGTGGAAAATCTGGAAGGCGTGTCTAGGAGATTACTGCTTTCCAGCTCATAAATTCTCTTTTCTCTCTAAATGAGGCTCTGTCCATAATGGTTTGATGCCTAGGTCCTAGGCTCAAATTCATCCTGTTCTTTCAGGTGCTAAAAGGTCTCTATACACAAACAAGGATGAATCAAGCTTTAGGAACAGGACTCCACACGTTAAACAAGTTTCAAAGAAGCAAATGCATCTGCAGCTCTCCTGGACATAGAACTTGGGGTGGCAGCCAAACTCTACAAAGAAACCAGAATTTTGGCGGTCAAACCTTGGCAATAAGCTTATCCACCCAGATGGGGGATGGCTAGTCTGATAAGACTCCAGCTGGAGAGTTGGGCAGGGAGAAACCTAATGAAATGAAATTCAGCAAGGGCAAGTGTGAAGTGCTGCATCTGGGAAAGACCAGCCCCAGGTACCAGCACAGTTTGGGGGCTGACCTGTTGGAGAGCAGCTCTGGGGAGAAGAACCTGGAATCCTGGTGGACAACAGGCTGACCATGAGCCAACAATGGCCAATGGCATCCTGGGGTGCATCAAGAAGAGTGTGGCCAGGAGGTCAAGAGAGGTCAGCCTCCCGCTCTGTGTTGGTGAGGCCTCACCTGGAGTGCTGTGTCCAGCTCTGGGCTCCCCAGTCTGAGACAGGGAACTGCTGGGTAGAGTTTAGCACAGGGCCACTAAGATAATGAAGGGCTAGAACACTTCTCTTATGAAAAAAGGCTCAGGGACTTGGGGGTCTTTTTAGGCTGGAGAAGACAGGACTGAGGGAGGATCTCATCAATGCTTATAAATATCTAAAGGGTGGGTGTCAGGAGGATGAGGCCAGACCTTCTCAGTGGTGTCCAGTGACAGTAAAAGGGGCAGTGGTCATGAACAGGAAAACGGGAGGGTGACAGAGCACTGGAATAGGTTGCCCAGTCTCCTTCTCTGGAGATCTTCAAAACCCATCTGGATGTGTTCCTGTGGTCTACTCTAGATGATCCTGCTCTGGCAGGGGGATTGGACCAGATGATCTTCAGAGGTCCCTTACAACCCCTCCTGCTCTGGGATTCTGGGATACATCTCTACTACAGTTTCTGAGGACCCAAGAGAACACAGAGAGGCTGTGAATTTGCAGACAAGTAAAGAGCATCTCTAGTGGAGCCTCCTGTTGCCAACACGGAATTTTGTTTCTCCTCAAATGGTTGTCTATACACATCCCCATGTGTTGCCTGATCTAGTCGAGACGTGGCATCCCTGGCAACAGGGACGTTAAAATGATCTCTAAGGTCCCTTCCAGCCTAGGCCATTCTATGATTCTATGGTCACACTGCAAATGACTCTTCTGTTTCCTCAGGACCCAGGCAAGCTGTTCTGAAGTTCTAAAAGCCTCAGAACTACGAAGGGCAACTCCGCCAAGGAACGGACCTCTGGAAGGATTAAACACAGAAGTCCTAGTTACAACATATTTTCAGGAAAGGTACTAACAGAGCTGCACGTATCTGCTTTGCAGATCTCAACAAAGACAATCCTGTGGAAGTGGTTTGAGCCCGTGTGAAACATGCACAGGTTCCATTATGTAGCTGTGTCCTCAGTACAGTATAGCACACACTACATCCTCAGTATCCCTTAAACAGAAATCATTTTAATCACTGAGTAGCAGTGGAGAAAAGACAAAAAGTTCACTTTCAAGAAAAAAGAGAAGGAAGCACAATAGGCACCCATATAATTGTGAGTGACTGTGATTTAGGAAAGAACCAAGGAAGGAACTATGATTTAAGGAAGAAACATCCTCAGCTGAGCTTCTTGGAGTCTAAGTCTGAAAGTTTCACAAACATTCAGTTATCTTGGCGCGCCTTCACAAAACAAAAGGACAATTCACCCTCCTTTTACTCTTCTCACCCCAGTTACCAAAATCATCCTTTTGCGACATCCAACTTGGAAAAACTGGGCTTGTTTCTTCAGAGGATTTAATACCAAACAGATTTGTAGCACAGTTCACTTTGACTCTGTAGCTACAACACTGAAAACCAAGAAGCAGCTGGGTGGAGGGGCAGTGGCATCCCGCCTACTCCGGCCCGCCGGGGCTGTGCTCGGACAGCCACGGGTACTCACCCGCCTGAGTGGACTTCCGCCGTGCCTTCTTAATTTCCTCTTCTGTCTTGTTGCTGAGCTTCACCTCCAGCTGCTGCGTTTTCATTTCCAGATCCTTCTGCCTTTCTGTCAAGGCTTTCCGGGCCTTGGAGTAATTAAAGAAGAGTCACATGTTTTAGAGGAAAAGAGCTGCCAGCTGCTTTCGGCCATCTATGACTCCTTCAGGCAAGTATTTGTCAGTAAGAGGCCAGGGACTCTGCATAAAACTGGGTCCCAGTTGAGATTCAATACACATTTATCAGAAACCTCTAGTGACAGGAACATTTAGACTTATTTCAGAAAAACTAATTCAGGTTCACGACAACAGCCGCTCATACTGTAGAAATTGAGAACCTGAGACCTGGTTACAACTGATTATCTAAATTACCTTAAATGTCTTTAGGCTTTTAAAGTCTGGTTTATCAGTATCACTGCTGAACTTATACATGCAATTAATAAAGCACCTTAACAAATAAACATCATTACCACATACGTCACCTCATTTGCTGAGGTTGCCTAAATACATAAAATAAAAAATAACTTGCTTTTCACAGACTTGCTATAAAATAGGTGACGTTTGTTCTATATCCAGTTACAATGTTTAAAACTGAATTTGCATGGGCAGATTTTGTTAGTACCTTGCAGTTTTCTACAGTCACATGAGCCTGCAAGTTACAATGCTCTTGAGGCATTACTTGAATTTTTTCCGATTTGCCGTTTTAAAGACGCTTGGTTCGGCAGGTCGCAAGAGGGAGCTGCAGGAAAGCGGCTGGTGAGAAGCTGGGTGCTCCAACAGGCACACGGCAGACACGGCTTTTCCGTTTGTTTTTTTTTATTCCTTCTTCTCAAGGCTATTCTAATTTGTTCTTTTCAGTATCTAAGGACTGCATTTCTTTGCTGATATGACTGTGAAGAACTTACTGTTTTGCAGAAAAACGCCTACGTACAAGCTAATAACCTTGTGCATCCTGCAACAATTCCGTCCCCAGGCAAACTTCTCTTGTGCGCTCTGATCTTCAGTGAAAGCCCAGACAATCCCCTGGGCTCTCCTTTCCAGCTGACACCCAAGCACAAACTGCACAGGGACACCACTTGGCACAAGTGTCCTGGCAGTCGAGGTGTGGGCATCCCTCTTCCTGGCAGCTGCTGCTAGGAGAACACCTTTAGGATATATAACTCTCCCTAAATTACAACCTGAGCTACCCTCCCTGGGTGCACATGTGAAAACAGCCCCTGATAGCAGGCTGCCTCTGGGTTTCTCGGGTGAGGATGTTTGCTGTGAAGTGGAGAGAACGGGAACTGGGAGAGGGTTTGTGACCTGCTGTGCCAGGTTTGAGGTGCCCTCCTCGGCCATCTGCTTTGGACCGAGACCATCTGCTTTTGAGGGGAGACCCCATCGCTCTCTACAACTATCTGAAAGAACATTGTAGAGAGGTTGGTGCTGGTCTCTGCTCACAGGTAATTGGTAGTAGAACTAGAGGGAATGGCCACAAGCTGCAACATGGTAGATTTAGGTTGGATGTTAGGAAAAAAATTCTTCACAGAAAGAGTAGTCAGGCACTGGAACAGGCTGCCCAGGGAGGTGGTTGAGTCACCTTCCCTGGAGGTGTTTTAAGACTGTTTTTAGATGTGGTGTTGGGGGAGATGGTTTAGGAGTGAACTCTGTAGAGTAGGGTTATAGGTTGGACTTGATGATCCCAAGGGTCTTTTCCAACGTGAATGTTTCTATGATTTCTATGACCACGAGAGGACACCAAGCCAGACAAGCCTTTGGCCTGCTGCTCTTCTAAGGCAAAGGTTTTTTACCTTTGGAGGGCAACAGATGTGACTTGCAGGTGCACACGAGCAAGGAGTACTTTCATCAAGCGTATCACAAATACACTGTCCCAAATTGGGAAGGGGAGGACGAAATGAAAAGCCAGTTCGGCAGCAACGTGTAGCTCTGCCTGCAGCTCCCAGTCTCCCCAATCTCAGCCAAGCAGCGAACAACATCTGGGGCCCAGTGAAACACAACCGACAGCAGAAAGTGCTCCGCAAAAACCCTTGTGGTTCTTTGTGGCTGACCAGAAACTTTTACAGAGCAGCTGTTTTTTTGTCCAAACCAGCAGCATCCCACCAAGTCTCCTGTTTATCCTCTGCTCTCACCTTTTCCACCGCTGCGTAGCGGCTGGCCAGCTGCTTGCGTAAGTCTGCAATATGGTGGTCACACTTCTTCATGTCTTTCTTAAAGTTCTCTCTGAAGTTGAGCAGCGGTTTCTCTACCTCGCTTTGAAGCTGGCAATGAAAACAAAGGAAGAAATGACAATCATGAGGACCTGGGCAGTAATTCCTGGCTCTTCTGTGGAGCCGAGTTCAGGACAGACAGAAAACAATACACATGCCAAAAGCAAAGCCATACAGCATCACTTTTCCAGGAGAGCTCTGAGCGAAGCTACTGCAAAACCCCACTTTTGGCAGGGCAGCTCTGGACAAACTACACAGCCAAGTTGTCAGAAACCATACTTTAGAAATTCCTCTGATTTCACAAGTATTTGTTTTTTTGCTTTGCTCCATCAGCACCATTTCCAGACTGGCTGGTAACACACCATCATATCCAGGCCAGCCCAGCATCTCTTCAGCACAACACGTGCACGTTTTCCTTTCCAGCAGAAATCACCTCCTGGAGCTCAGTGAGGGATAATCAGAAAGCTGGAGAAGAGGGTCAGTACCAGGACGGCCTTCTTGAAGGATTCCTCACATCCATGGATATACAGCTGCCATACCAGCCTGTAGAGTCTTCTGTAGTGCAATAATATCTTATGTTCTAAGTGCCGCAAGAGCGCTGTCACCTCCTCTGTTCCATTTGTGACCTCCAGTGTAACGGTGCCATGAAGGACTGACCTGCTGGAGAGCAGCGTGGGAGA